GTAGAGCGGGAAAAGAACGGTAGGAGAGACTGGGAGGGGCGGACATGTAAAAGTAAAGGTTTGAGGGGGCGCGCGCACCCACACTGAGTACCAAATTCTTCGTGTTATGGAAATAATGAAACATCGAGATACCGAAATACCGAAATTTCCAAACTTTCGGTATTTTTCGATATTTCGATAATATCGAAATATCGTTCCCGAATAGTAGAAATTTAAAATACCGAAGCATCGGTATAAAAAAAATACCGATATCGTTTCGGTATTCCCGAATATCGCACAGCCCTACCCTCACTCCCCGCTCATCACGCAGGACGAGGATGGCCTAATGCTGGTGGAAGGGCAGCCCCCGCACGCTACATTTCCCCGTACCACCACCACCACCACCGCGGCGGGATGAATTTCGTCAAATTAAGGCAACCTTGGGTGAGGGATGAGCAGCACAGCCGCGCCGTCGGGACGCTCATCACGCTCCCGGGCGCGCCGCCGCCACTTCATGGACTCCTCCTCCTCCTCCTCTCTCTCTTCCCTCCCCCTCTCCTCCCCCGACCAGCAATACCCCTCGGCCATACCTTTCCAGTCTCATCAGCGCTGCGGGTCGCGGTGACCCCCCCTCCCCCCCCTCCACAACGGCCCCATTGGTGCGGTAATCATCCAATCAGGCCGACACGCCGCCTTCTAATTGCAGCATTACTCCTGAAATGGACCCCATTCTCGCTCTCTGTCTCTCTCTCGACCTCTCTCTCTTTCTCTCTGTCTCTCTCCTCTCTCTCCCTCTCTCCCTCTCTCTTCTGATCTCACCCACTCCGCACACGCCATTTGGGCGCTGCTGCCACGCGCTCTTCCCCAGCTTCCAACAATATACCCTCTCCTTTCCTCTTCTCTGTCCTTTACATTCATCCTTCTCTCCCATAGCGATGAGCGTGAGGTCAGAGAGAGGACAGAACGCTTGTTCGTTTCAGGTTGTTTTTTTTGTCTGAAACGAAACATTTTTGCCGCGACACGCAAGGGGGCTGGTGCAGGGGCGGGGGCGTTTTACAAAAAAAGGAAAACCTCCGAGAGTAAGACACAACCACCCCCCGAGGACTGGGGCGGGGAAGGTGAAGGGGGAGGTGAAGCGGGAGGGGGAGACCGTGGATGAGACCGGCAGTGTCACTTCATTACGGCCGTAACGACCCCCATTAGCGAGCTACAATGAAATGGAACTCCCAGCCACGCCCCTCCCTCGCCACGATGACAGACAAGGGCAGGAGGAGCCAGCTGGGAGGCCGCGGGAGTCATTCCACGCGGACCCAATGGCTCCCATGGCTCCCCCCGACGAGGTGGGGTGGGAGTGACGGCCATGCGTGGGGGTATGGGGATGGGGGCTTAATTTAACAAAATGGCAGACGAATGCAATGATGTGTCACCCCGGACTAAGTGATTTCGGTTGCAAAAGAAATAAAGAAATTCTCTGACACTCGGTCTCACGTTTCCGTTTCGCCCTTTTGTTGCAGGATGCGGTGGCCAGCACGCCCTGCTCGGCAAGACGCGGCGGCCGCGGACTGCCTTCACGTCGCAGCAGCTCCTGGAGCTGGAGAAGCAGTTCCGCCAGAACAAGTACCTGAGCCGGCCCAAGCGCTTCGAGGTGGCCACCAGCCTCATGCTCACCGAGACACAGGTGAGACCTCAGGGTGAGACTTGCAGCAAGGGCGCCACAGCTCGCTACATTCTAACATCCGACATCCCATTAATCAGGCTATCATGGGTGTTCTAAACGGCACCCCCTTCTGGTTATACTGTGCCGCATACAGGCGTGTAAACGGGTTGCATACCCGCACGGGGTCAGTAGTAGGCAAGCTCGCCCGCACAACTGCGTGCGGTACAGTATAACCTGACGGGGCCCGGCTTAAGAACAGCCACCCTTGTAACGTTACTGGTAATATAGTAGACATTGAAGTCCACCGGTCCCATCAACGACTGATCCGAATCCGAATCCTGTACGGACCTTATTGGGGTGTTAGCATAACTCGGGACTCGTGTAAGCCCGCTCATCTGCAGTCGAAGAAGAAGAACTACGCGACACCCTTCCTCGCGCGTGATGGGAG